CCAGAACCTACAGTGGAACCTCAGCAGGAGACAGTGATAGAGGAGCTGACAGAAGACATACAGAAAGTGCTGATAAGGGAGGTTCAAGGATAAAAGGTTGTAAGTGAGAAAGAGGAGGGTGGAGTTTGAAGCAGGGACAGAGGAAGTAGAGAGGAAGAAAGACCAGTTACCGCCTGGTTGGGAATGCGTGTGGATGCAGGATCCTTGGACTGGATTATGGGAGAGATGGAGAGTGCCAAAAGAGGAGGCAGATTATAGGAGAAGAGCGGAGATTCCCCCTAGGCGAGGGAGGAGATTGAGAGAGGAAAAGGAATGAGTAGAGAGAGAAAGGAAAGAAAGATTGGAATAGAGAGTAAGAGAGATGAAGAGAAGGAGCTACAGGGAGGACCCTGGGAGAACTGAGACCCTGATGGACGGATCCTGTGGGATGACAACCTGGATGAGACCGTGCCCCTGCTCGAAGGCACAATGAGGCAGACCGTAAAGGACGGGGGTCCCGGCTGATCTCCCAGGACCATGGGACAACAGTTATAGAAACCCGTTCCTGTTTGACAAATAGAAGCCCCTTCTGGACCCGTTGGCAGAAGGAGAAAGGACTCGTAATACGTTCCAGACACTTATTTATTGTTTAATGCACCAATAAATCCCACACCAGTTTTGAAACAACAAAGATCTACTGATTTCTTTGAATTGAATTTGGAGCCAAAATTCGAGCCCTCACAGTCCCTAACAGAGAAGTTTGGGGTTCCTACATGAACCAGCATTTACAGGCCCCTACCTAGCTACTGCCTAAGCCACCTCTAGCCCTTCCAACCCATGAGCTTTTGTTAGGCTCTCATATAGGGAAAGCACAGGAACAGCCTGTATAGCCAGTAGTGAGGATGGCAGGAAAGAACAAGGAAGTGTTTTATGCTTTCAAAGCACTGCATTTATGAATGGTTCCTCCTGTAATGCTTGAGGCAGTCCTTTTTAAAAAATGTATTTATTTACCAACCTTGTCAGACAGCTCACATCTAAAGATTTCACAAAGATATACAATAATTAAAAAACAAACAAAAGCAAAGACACAGACTGAAGTAATTAAACACCTGCATTTAATTTGTTTATGAAACAACTGATTGATTGCCCTACTTAGGAGAGGCTTGCAAAAATAGGTTACTGTATGTTTTGAACACACATCTCTTAAAGTCACTTCATTTCTATTTGGGAAGTAAGTACACAGATGGTATGGTACACAGCAAACTTACAAGAGCATCTCTTTATGGATCACCTCCATACACACTTTTTCCATCTGGATGACTGCAGAGTGACTGGCCCAAAGTTGCCAGTGAACCAAAATGCTCAATGAAGACTAGAATCTGGGTCTACTAAGTATCAGTTCCACCCTCTAACCACAGATCACACTCAATTTAGCTGTTGATACTATATCAATATGTTTACCCATCAGCCATAAAAAGCATCCCGTAAAAAAATATAAATGCATAAAGGAAATGTATTTTTCACAGATCTACATATGACTAGAAAGGGCTATAGAGCCAGAGGGGGACATAAAGATAACTAGAGATAAGGTATCTTAACTTTTGGGAGTCACAATTCTCTGAATCTGTGTATTTTGGCAACTGAATCTGTGTATTTTGTAAAAAGAAACTTTCCCCATCTCTGTAGATACTGATATAGGTGTATACAAACACAGAGAAAACTTTCTGTCTCTTCTAAATAGATATTTTTTAAAAATTATGATAGCATATGTTAAAAGTTATGACAGCCCACTTCATTCTATGCATTATATCAGTGTATCAAGAGCCATTTGTCTCTGTATTAAAATGCATGAAGGGAGAACCATGGTTCTCTAAGGGAAAGGATCTATATGTGAACACACAATCTCCCTTAGGATCAGGAATGCCTCCATTTCTCTCTGGCTTCCTTCCACTGGCATGCAAAAACATGCCTCTTTAAAGAGGTTTCAGGGAGCCAGGGTCAATAGAGGTGGGAAGGTCTTTTGAATTTTTTTTTTTGTTTTGTTTTTTGCTTGAGGCAGTTCTACAGTTCCTACATCGTCATGTATAATGAAGTCAATTCTGACTTATGATGACCCTTTCCAGGATTTTCTAGGTAAAGAAGTGGTCCCTTGGTCATTTCTCCTGGTAATGCTTTAGAACTGTGTTGTTTGTCCAGGGCCACACTGGCTGGCTTTTCAGACCTGTACTCACAACTCTGAGCTTCATAGCCAGGTACTTCACCTGAGCACTCCAAATGGCTCTCTACAATATAAATCTGCTGAAACCCAACTCTCAGTTCCAGGTGCCTGCTTCTCCCTTCAGCATGTACACTGAGGAAGAGCCTCAACAATGGATATCAACGCCTGGACAAACCTTGTGAAAAGAATACAGCTAGTTAAACTGTACCTAGATGACTCAGTGACTCAGAACACGGGACCGCACCCTCACTGTTTCAACTTACATAATTCCATAGCATCCCATCTCATATCCTCATGAACTATGGAGAAAACAACCAAAAGAGATGCAACTATCTAGGAAACATGTACGTATAAACCTTGCTGGTCAGAAGCAGATGAGATTGCATATGAAGACCACCTTACTCCCGCAAAAGAGAACAAGGAAGACATGTAGACTTTACATTATATCGTATTTTTCTACATTCATGAGACAAAAGAAGATAGGAATTGGAGTTTTCCATCTTTCCTGCTTCTAGAAAGATAATGTTCTTTGGTATGTATGCCACTGTGGGACATTTTATACTTAAGGAGGACTCCTTGTGGGAAGTATACAGAAGTCACTTTGAAAACTGAATTTCTCTTCATCAGGGTTGAGCCTGGACAAGACAGAGGTCCTGAGGGTGGGTGGCCCCTCCATTGGCAGCTTGGGAAACTCCCTCTCTTTTGGGGGGGAGGTGACTCTCACCACGAAGAGTGAGGTTCGCAGCTTGGGAGTACATCTGGACCCGGCGCTCACCATGGAGACCCAGGTGGCATCAGTGGTCTGCTCCGCCAATTACCATCTGTGACGGGTTGCCCTATCTTGATGGCGGGGCCCTCACCACTCTGGTCCATGTGCTTGTAATCTCGAGATTAGACCACTGTAATGCGCTCTACATGCGGCTACCTTTGAGATTGATGCAGACGCTTCAAATGGTGCAGAATGCGGCAACCAGATTACTTAGTGAAATGAGAAAATTCCAGCATATCTCTCCCATTCTGGCTGCTTTACATTAGCTGCCCATTCGTTTCCGCATTGACTTCAAAATGTTAATGATGACATACAAAGCCCTAAATGGTTTAGGACCGCGATACCTGGCAGAATGCCTTCTCCCACCTAGATGTACTGGAGTCACTCGCTATAGCCAGGAAAGACGACTGAGGGGCCTGATGCTGAGAGAGGCCCGGAAAGAAAGAAGTAGAAACCGGCCCTTCTTGGCAGTGGCCCCTCGACTTTGGAACAGCTTGCTGCCAGAGATCTGCCTGGCTTCCTCGCTGGGTGTTTTCAAGAGCCAATTAAAAACTTGGCTCTTTAGGCAGGCCTTCCCTCCTGCCAATACTTGATTTTTTACTTTTCTTGGTTTTTTTGATTATATTATTATTGTAGATTTAATTGTTTTTAAATCCGCTTTGTGCACAATGTATTGTGAGCCACCCTGAGTAGACTCTTGTCTAGAAGGGCAGGATAAAAATCAAATCAAATCAATCAATCGATCAATCAATCAATCAGAGTTGCAAGTGGCTGCCTGGGTCACTTTGCATTCCACTGTAATCAGACAAAGAGCAGTGCTCCCTCAGGCTGGGCCCCTTTGTAAATATGGACAGGATTTCTGGTACAGGTAAGGCTAGATGTTGGAGCTGAAGTCCAGTGTTCTAGAGACCTCTCATGAGACCTAGACAACAACATCTCTGAGGCAGTAAAATATGCCCAGCAAAGTACGTGAGCATGGGCAGCTGTGTTGAAGCCCCCCCTCAGGCCGAAGCTACTCCATACAGCATCTTTTTCTTATTATTATTTTTAAAGGAAAAAAACAGCCCTTTCTACAACAAAAAATGGTCTTATTTTCAATTGAATTAGTTTGGCATCAGGCGAGGCCCACCCAAACGATCTTGCTGTAGAGGCAGGGCAGGAGATGGTGCCCCCATTCTCCCCATAGCAACAGCCAATTTAAGACACCTTATGCCCAAAACTAGCCAAGTATTTTTGGCACTTGAGACAGAAAATACCACAAACCTCTTCTCTAGGGGTAAAAATAAAAATAGATTATTAATGATGTGCCGCCTTTCCCAAGAACCCCATAATCTCCTCCTGAGGTAGCTGCTTCATTCTTCCTAATGCTGGAGCTAACCTTGCATCAGAGCAGCAAGCCAATGCCTCCTACGTTGTCAGGAGAAAACCATGAGTACAATAAGTTTAGAATTAAAAGAAAACCCACCCTATATGCTTAAAGTATATTTTCTCCCTTAAGCTAATTTTTAAAAACTATTGAGAGTGGGTGGGTTGATTGGTCTTTGCTCTAACATACCAGGAATGTAGAAGCATCCATACAACATTGGCCAGAGTCCTATTGACATTTGTTCAAGATTTCGATAACCTGTTACAGCTAACTGATGAGATTCTGGGCTGTGTCTCAAATGTGTAACTGGTTATGTGCCCAATGGTGCAACTGAGCCGTGCCACACCACCTTACCAGTTAGGTGCAAGTAGCTGGGGCAAGCCATGCAAACGTTACACGTGCCCAATGGTGCAACTGAGCCGTGCCACATCACCTTGCCAGTTAGGTGCAAGCCATGCAAACGTTACACAAACACCAGCAAGGTTTCCAGCCACGGAATGGCAACAAAGAGGGCAATGAGAGAATCGTTGTGTGCTTTACAACTGAAGTAACACACAAGCATATCTAAAGCCCTTGCCCGAACAGATAAAATGTGAGAAAGGATACTAGGCCACACTTTGAAGGATCACATGTCTAGAGGCATCTGACTCTGCGAGGAGGCAACGTACCATATTGTTTAGCATTGTTGATGATCCGCACTCCACTCTCAGGACTGTTATTGGAGAGGACAATGACATCAAAGAGTCTCTTCTCCTCCGGGTCTCTTTCAAGAAGCTTCTTGTTCACAAACTGTATAGCCTGTAAGAAACTAGAGATGCATTACTACGGATTTCTTAAAATACTGGCCTTTAGTGGGCAGCAATTACAACACGAGCTACAAGATATTACATCTTTGGACTACAGACAGAAGTAATGTTTTAAATACGGTTGAGATGGTTTGAAAGAGCATTCATTACCCTTGAAATAGACGTAGGTATATACTAATGTGCTGGAATGAGCTGTGAAGAAAGAATTCTCCTCCCCCAATCTTAGAAATAGCTTTGTAACTGCTTTTAAAATGTAAGGCTTTTAAAACGAAATAAAATATAAAATTCGTGATCACAAACACTTACACGCTGCTCTGTTTTTGGCTTGGTTTGGGATGGGGTGGATTCGGGGGCCTCATTCAGTCCTGTGAATCTGTATTGCAAGCCAACAAGACTGCTGCAGACTATTTTAATGGTCCTTTCTATTGTTAGGGAGGTTAGCTTTAAGAAAGGCTAAAGCAGGGGCTAGCTTATTCTTGCGATGACTAAAGCAGGGGCTGAGAAACATAACACTCATGGACTGTACATAGGCCTTCACTCATCTTTGAAACTCCCAACTAACAATTGATTTTAATTTTTTTAATGCAAAAAGCATAATTCTCCTAAAACCAAGATACAGGGCCTTGCTTTATCATATAGATGCCTTTTCTCTTTTGAAGCCCCTAAACCAGTGGTTCACAATCTTGGGTCTCCAGATGTTCTTGGACTGCAACTCCCAGAAGCCCTTTCCAGCACAGCTAATGATGAAGGCTTCTGGCAGTTCAAGAACGTCTGGGGACCCAAAATTTAGCAAGCCTTCAGTAATTTAATTCTAAAGGAAAAGCTGGATATTGCTACACTTTTGGAGTTCTTACTGCTTGGAAAAATGTGCTTGCACATTACCAATGGACTGCAATAAAGGCAGATAACCTGCCTGAAAGACATAGGCATAAAGCATATTACAAGTTCACACTGTGTGTGAATTTGAATTACCTCCTGTTGCAAACATTGAATCTGCACCACCAGCAGAGCAAACACTGTCTTCAAGATGAGGATATCTGCAAGGGCCTCATTCTCTAACACTCTTTGGGGAAGGCTTATTCTTGTTACTAGGCAAACTGAGATGAGTGCCGTGGAGAAATCATAGCTAGAAAGAACATTATGGCCCATTGACTCTAACTCCCTGTTGAAGCAAGATCCACAACTACAAATCGCCACCCAAGCTTTATTCAAAAACCTCCAATGAAGGGGAGTCCATCACCCTCCCAGGCCATTTCACTGTCAAACCAGCTCTAATTCCTAATAATGAGGTGAAATCTCTTTTCTTGAAATCTGAATCCATTACTTCAGGTCCTACTCTCTGTACAGAAAACATGACTGCTCCATCTTCCATGTGACAACCCTTCAGCCACTCAGACTTCTCCTTTGTAAGCTAAACATGGTCAGCTCTTTCAGTTGCTGCACTTAGTGGGCTTGGTTTCCAGACCCCTTGCCATCATGGTCACTGTCCTCTGGATACAGAGGAAGCAGATGCTGGATGGTATAAAGATAAAGGCAGCATCCCTTTCTTGGCTGTTCCACTCTGTTCAAGGACAGATCTCTGGGCTTCATCAGGTCAGTCATATACTCCCTAAGCTATGTTGTGGCTCTCAAGAATCATTGAAGTCAATATCATCAACAGTGTCCAAGCGAGATTCCGGCTGGCCCAGGCAGCTTCTCTTGGTAGAACAGGCTGTTAGCCGCCTAGAGTGGTCTTAACCGACCAGATAGGTGGGATATAAAT